ATCTGCTTTGTGGCAGGACACATTTTTTGGGGGGGGTCCGGTCATGGGGCCTGAACTCTGGGCCTGGGCGCTGTCCCTCAGCTCTTCAGCTCAAGGCTAGCGCTCTACCACTTGAGCCACAGCACCACTTCTGGCTTTTTTCTTTTTGCTTCTGTGGTGCTGAGGAATCAAACCCAGGGCCTCATGCATGCAAGGCAAGAGCTCTACCACTGAGCCACCTTCCCAGCCCAGGACACATTCTTATCTGGAAGAAATGCTCACATCATCCAGGGTTTGTGGAAGTGTAACACCAGGAGTGATGAGGGCAGAAGATAAAACACCTATTTGTGCATGGCTTTGAAGTCCGACCCCCTGTCTTCATCAAATCAATACTCTGACGCAAAGCTCTGTCCCCTATCTTTAGACTGTGTCTCCTCCTTTCTGCTTGTCTGTCTGCTGTTTGTCTGCTGGTCTATTTGCTTACTTGCTTACTCACACAATAGAGCTCTCCTGACTTCTCTTACCATCGCGACTGGTCCAGAAAATTTTATTCTGCGATCAAGTCAAAGTCCCTAAGTGAAGAATCCCTACTTTTAGAGGGAAGCTTCCATAAACCTTCACCTGCATCCGTGGACCAGGAGAGCTGAGTCAAGGATACTAGATCACTATGTGATTTCTGACAGCTGCATATGAATCAACAATGATTCCCCCCCCAACTTAAAAAAATAATAATTTGAAAAAGTCTTACACACTTAAAACACCAAGAGACACAAACTGGGAATCCTCTAGAAGAGGATCATCAGGGTAGTGAGTAGCCCGGCGAAATGATAGAAGGGATCAAGGCACTACTTGAAAAGCTGTCAGAAGGAAGAGGATGCAGTCCACTCCACAGGGAGAAGATGCAAGGGAAGTATTTGGTCTGCACATCTGGAAAGGCATTCTTGACACCTCTGCATTAGAGCAGAGTCTGCCAGCCCTGCATTTCATATGGGGGCAAGACAAGGATAAAAGAGGAACAATGGTTCCCCTAAACAGAAAAGAGAAATATAGCATTTTGCAATTTTCTTCTCAGAGGGCTGGGGTGGGGGGCGGCGGAATTGGAAGGTGCAGGGGGTTGCTTTAGGTGTGCAAATTGCTGGAGATAATAAGATGTGGGGCTGTGTGTGCCAACTTCAGGGAAGGCGCTCGTTAGCTGGGTAAATGCTAGTTCTTTACTCAGCAGGGTTTTTGCTGCGAGGAGGATATTATTCAAGACAGAATTCACCCAAGTCTTACATGTCTCACGCAGTCAGCTGCCCCAGACAGAGCTGAGAAGAATTTGGGAAGATTACAGGGAAGACAACAGCCAAGACCTGGCAGAGGGTTTTCAAATGGGCAGCTTAGCCTTGTGAAAGGTTGTGCCAGTTGCTGGAGTAATTTCAGATGAACAGGCACATTAGGAAAATGACTACTATTATGTATTACAAGATTACAAAGAACACGTGTCCTTGTAGCAAATCATACCGAAAAAAAAAAAATCAGTACCCAGACAATGAGAATTTTTTTCCCAGCTCTCATCTGTGAGTTCTCAAGCTTCCCTGATTTCCTTGGAACCTGTTTTTTATTTTATTTTATTGTAAAGATGCTGTATAGAGGGATGACAGTTATGAGTAAGGCAATGACTACATTTCTTGTCGATCATTGTTACCTCTTCCCTAGTTGTTGGCCCACTACCCCTTCCCTCTCCTACCTCCCACACTCCAACTACTTAGAAACTTCTTGATTTCTAGCAGATTCTAGAACTAAGGAAGGAATTTCTTTTGGTGGTTTGAACCCAGGGCCTTGTACGTGGGAATCAAGCAGTACAGCACCTATTTTCCACTTTTTGTTGTTGTTGTTAGTTAGGAAAGGCTCTCACTTCCTGTCCAGGTATACACATGAACCATTATCTGCCTACTTTTAGGCTTCTGGTAGTTGTTGGACTCACATGCATGTACGACCACATCCAGCTTTCCTTTAAGGAGATGGATTCTCCTGGGCTGCTTCTTTTTTCTTTTCTTTTCTTTCTTTCTTTTTTTTTTGACTGAGATAGCCTTGAACTTCAATCCTCCCATTCCCAGCCTCCTCCCATTGTCAGTCCACCAAGTAGCCAGGATTACAGTGTGAGCCACTATGGCCAAGCTAGGATTTCATTTACTGTATAAGCACTTTCTACTGTCATTATCACTAAAATACAAAGTGAACTTGTGGCAAAACAAACCATCAAGAAAGCAGAGAACAACGTCACAGTTAGCTTTTCTGTGATGAAAATATTTAACATCTCCTCTAAGGAGGAAAATAGAAATGAATAGAAATGACCAGTTGAGAAGGGAAACCAGTTGGAAGCAGGAGGGAAAAAGAGAGTGAGAGGGAGAAAGTGATTGAAAGGACATTTGAAAATATCATATATGAAATATCATAATGAAATCCACTTAAAAGTTGCAAGATGGAGATAAGGAAATGGAGGAGGGAGATAATGAAGAATAGAGGAGATGAAGATGATCAGAGTATATTACTGAAATTATAGTGTTATCACAATAAAACCCTTCATATTGTAAAAAAAAAAAAAGGGGGGGGGAAAGAAAGTGGTAAGAGAAATTATTTTCCAATCACATATCCGGTAAAGGATTTGCATCCTTTTGCCACTCAATAATACTTTTGCTACTCAATAATAAAAAGGCAAGCATCCAGTTAAAAACTGAGCAAAGGACCCAAATAGATAATTGGCCAAAGAAATGACACAAATGGTAAATACACATATGAGTTGACATCATCATTAGCATCAGGGAAAAGTCAAATCATAATGAACTATTACGAGGATGGCTGGACCACAAAAGACAATACCAAGTGCTGAAGAGAATGTGGAGGAGTTGGAACTCTCCTGAGCTGCTGTGGGAAGACTAAATGATGGAGTCGTTATGGAAAACAGGCAATTTTTCCAGAGGTTGAACATAGATTTGCCATGAAATCATAAATATAGGTTTACCACAAATACCCCTCCTACTATATACCCAAGGTAAATGAAAATCTATGTCGATATTTTGTATTGATTCTACTTCTCTGAAATGTCCACAAGAGGCAGCTCTATAGAGGTAGGAAGTGGATTAATGGTTGCTTAAGGCTGGAGGTGTTGGGGAGTGTGAGGGTGGAGAGTAGTTAACTGAAGTGGTTTGTTTTTTTTTTTGAGGGAGGGTAGCAAATGTTCTGAAATTGTGGTGGCTGCACAAACTCTGTGACTATATTAATAAAAACCACCAAGTCATACATTCTGGGTGAGTGAATTGGATGAACTGTATTTTTTTAAATGCCAGTCCTGGGGCCTGAACTCAGGGCTTTGGCACTGTCTCTGAGCTTCTTTTGCTCAAGGATAGCTTTCTACTACTTTGAGCCACAGCTCTATTTCCATTTTTTTCTGTGATTAATGGGAGATGAGAGTCTCACAGACTTTCCTGCCCAGGCTGGCTTTGAACCGTGATCCTCAGATCTCAGCTTCCTGAATAGCTAGGATTACCGGCATGAGCCAGTGCCTGGCTATGAATTGTATCTTAAAGCTGTTGCTAAAGCAAAAAGCATTGAGAGTGTGGTTCAAGGGGTGCAGGCCTGCCCAGCAAGCACAAAGCTCCACATTCAATCCCAGTACTACCACAAAAAGAAAATTAAATAAGATGAAATTAGACAAAATAATAATACTTCCCCAAGCCCTGGGATAAGATCCAGTGCTTCCTACCTTTTGAATACAATTTAATATGTGGGAGTAAGATTGAGGGGTGTAAGATACACAGTGAAGACCCTTTTGGGGTTCACAGTTTTTCTTAGGAAGGCAGTATGTACACTTGGAGTCCTATTTGCCTGGCACAACAGGTATGTCGCTGATACCTTTGGGTGTGTTGACAAGGTCACAGTGAAGGTCAGGACGAGCCAGGCTCTAGGACAGGACCCAACAGACAGGTCATCCTCACCACTGAGGATGAAGAAGATCACAAACTGAGTCGTCTATTCGGAACCTGAGTCCTGAGGGGATTAGAATGAAGACAGAGCCGAAAAACCTTCTCCCAGAGCCGAGCAACTTTAATTGGAAGTTGAAGAGGTTGCCATGGTGACGTGAGGAGAGTCTGGAGACCGGAGGCCACTGTTTTGGGGGTCGGGGTGGTGGGGGCTTCAGTCGGGTTATTGTTAGGGGGCAAGATCACAGGTAGCTCGAGGGTTCAACGAGTTGTGTGACTTTCTGCTGCTGGTCTGACTCCGGGAACCTATTGTTAGAGCAAGTCTCTGACCCCATTTGAGAGCAGCTCAGACGCCTTGCACCTGGGGATGGGGTGGGGGGGTGGGCTTTCATATTTAGATTAAGATTCTGGGCTGGAGCCCGGGCTGGAAAAGTTCGGGAAGATTCCCTTGGGGGTGTGTGTGGGGGGGTAGCCCGTGGGCCCAGCCACGGGGCGCAATATTCCGTGGTGAGAACTAAGCAGCTTCCCATCCTGCTCATCCTTCTGAGCTTCAGTTTGGACTGTCCGCGGAGTGCAAATGGCATGTACACTTGGTTGGAAATGGAATGGTTGCCGGCACTCAGGGCTGTGGCACGGGGCTTGACCATGCTTGGGGGTGTGTGTAAAAAATAAAACCCTCTTCAACTCGTTTGGACTGCCTAATGAGCCTCAGAAGGGGGACTAAGTCCCGAAATTCTCCATTTCTCCAGGGTCAGACTCTGGGCGCTGCCCAAGAACGGCTGCAGGGGGCGCTCTGGCGACTCCTGCCCCCCGCCCCCCCGCCTCCGCCCTTCCCAGCCGCCCCCAGGGCTTCGCCCTCGCGTCCCCAAGCCCCGCCCCTTTTTCTCGCGGGTCTTCAAAGGGCAGCGGGCTGGGAGCGTTAGTTAACGGCTCGCGGGGCCACCAGAGCGCTCGAGACGAGCGCCGGGGGCGTCCCCTCGCGTCCAGCGCCTCAGGGATCAGGTGCTGGGACTGTGCGGCGGCTCCAACGTGTGGCCAGCTCCCGGCAAACGCCGTCCCATGGAGAACGGGGAGCGAACCCCCGCAGCGGAGGCGCTCGGGGCGGCGGGCGAGTCACCTCAGGGCCGTTTGCCTCTCGGGGAAGAGGGCCTGGCGGGGCCGGCGGAGCCCGAGCCCATGGCGGCCGAAGCGGCCGGGAGCGGCGAGGGCGAGGGCCGGCCCCAGCGGGCTCTGAGGGTTGTATACGTTCGCAGCGAGAGCTCCCAGGGTGGTGCGGCCGGCGGCCCCGAGGCGGGCGCCCTCAATTGCCTTCTTCGGGCGTGCGAGGCTCAGGGTGCGCACCTCACGGCCGTGTCTTTTGGGGAACTCGACTTCGGGGAGACGGCCGTGCTCGATGCCTTCTACGATGCAGGTGAGGAGGGCGGGTGTCCCGCTTCGTCCCCACCTTCCTCTGCCTTTCCTTATCCCTCTCAGAAGCCACCCCCCCCCCCCGCCCCTCCACACCCTCTCACACCCCCCCCCCCCAACTCCTGGGTCATAGAAATTGTAGTGCCCATTTCCTGGGAAGAAAACCAGAGGCCACTACCGTTTGAGACTGCTTTATTCTTAAGGCATTTCAGATAGCCTACTAGCCAGACTGCCCAACTAGTCTGCAGAAGGGCGATTTGAGGTGAGCCCTGGTGGAAAAGTCAGAATGGACCAGGCACGGGTGGCTCACACCTGTAATCGATCCCAGCCCCTTCACCAGGCTGAGATCTGAGCATCGAAGTGGGAAACCAGCCTGGGCAAGAAAAGTTGGTGAGACTCGTTATCATTATTATTATCTTTAAGTAATTGTGTAAGGGACGTGTCATTTCACAAAGCAGTTTATGAATACAGTGCATCGATCTGTCACCCCCTCCAACCATCTCATCCCCACAAACTCTTATCTCTAATCAACTAGCTAAAGGAAAAAAAGCCCCAAATGACGTTGTGGCTCAAGTGGGAGGGTGCTAGCCTTCAGCCGAAAAGCTCAGGGGCAGTGCCCAAGCCCTGAGTTCAAACCCCACCACGGGCACCAAAACAAAAAACAATGACGATTGCTTCACCCCTCGCCATCTCAACCAATTAAAATGTAAGTATCCTGGTGAACTCCTGTCATCCCAACTACACAGAGGACATTGATAGGACAATGGAGGCCCGAGGCCACCAGAACAAAAAACGGTGGGATTGTGCACAAAAATAAGTGAAGTAAAAATGAATCATCACTAGCACAAAAAAGTCTACATGCATGGTTCAAGTGGTAGAGCTCCTGGCTAGTAAAGTGGGTGCAATAACCAAATATTATGCCGAGTGCTGGTGGCTCACGCCTGTCATCCTAGCTACTCAGGAGGCTGAGATCTGAGGATTACGGTTCAAAGCCAGCCCTGGCAGGAAAGTCCATGAGACTCTTATCTCCAATGAAACCACCAAAAAAGTGGAAGTGGCATTGTGGCTGAAGTGTTAAAGCATTTGTCTTGAGCTGAAGAGCTCAGAAACAGCTCTCAGGCCCAGAGTTCAAGCCCCACTACCGACCAAACAACAACAACAGAAAACCAAAATAATAAGTTGAATAACCACATAATAAATAAAATTAATACAGTAATACATATGTAAATACATAAATGAATGGACTAAAATAAAATGTCATAGCAAGGAGCATAGTGTAACTTAGACGATGATGCTGAGCCCCTTTCCCTCTCCCAGTTACCTACTTTTACTGCCTGACTTCTACCATGCTTCTTCCTGTCTTGGCTCCCTACACTGAATGAATGGATGCCTGGGCAGGGGGAGGGTGGAATGGGGGAGAGGGAATGTTTGATGCTTCCCACATGGCTCCATTAGGCTGCTCACATGTGTATTGTCTGTCTTAGCGCTATATAGGGTATGCGTGTATGTATGTGTGTGTGTGTTACTGGGGTTTGAACTCAGGAACTTGTGATTGCTAGGCAGGTGCTCTACTATTTGAGCCATGCCCCTTGACCTCCCCCATGATCTTTTGCACACTTTGATTCCAACCACACACACACACATCAACAGTGTGATGAGATCTACCACTGTGGAGCATATAGTAATTCACAAGTATTCAGGGGTTTGAGCTTTTATTGCTAGAGTTCGATACTACATTATATGCCCACGGAGACTGTAGGTTATTAAAAAAAAAACCCAAATCCAGTTTTCAAGGTTTTACGTTGGGTTAACAAGAGTTTTTCCAGTTGTAGAATGGTTTAGCTGGTTTCCTCATATTCCCTTTGGTGACAAGCCTTTGACAGTGTCATCCATTGGGTGGCATTCATTAGCAGTATATGTGAGACAAAATTGCCTCCCCCCCCCCCGAAAGGCAATAGCGGTGCTTACCTTAAACCTAAAAGCATATAAGAAGCGACTAAAGGAGACATTTTCAAACACTGGTCATAGTCTGCTATGACAGTAAGCGAGGCTTATCACTGTTTTGCTTGCTAGGCAAGGGTTCTGCCACTATGTGCCACCCCAGCCACTACAATACTTCCTTTACTGGAGGCGGCCCGATCTGGCTTTTTCACAGAGCCAATCTCCTGCCTCCAGGGAAGGGGGTAGGGTGGAAGGCGTCTTCACACAAGTGGCAACTGGACCCTCCAGAACACCCTCGACATTGGTGACCCAGCTGAGAATAGTCCTTAGTACCACCGCTTTTCAGAGACGCTCAGGAGCCCACTTCACCTAGAAGCATTCAGTTTGCTCAACTTCTATTCATTCTGCTCCCAATTGAAGTTTAAACAAACTCTTTTTGGAACAGATCAATGTCCCTTTTGTCATCAGACACAAACAACTATGTACCCCTGCCTGTGGTATCAATGCTGGTAAATTCACATATGATGGCTTTGCTTTTCTGAGTGTGTGCCTGCTCATGTGCATGAATATTTGTGTGTGTATGCATGTGCACACTGTCATGCATAGCAAGTTTTCTTCCCTCCCCCCATTTGGGGGGCTTGAATTCGGCCTAGGCACTGTCCCTGAGCTTTTCACTCAAGGCTAGTGCTCCACTTTGAGCCACAGCACCACTTCTAGATTTCTGGTGGCTAATTGAAGATAGGAGTTTCATGGGGACTTTTCTGCCTGGGCTGGCTTTGCACCATGATGCTCAGACCTCAGCCTCCTAAGGAGCTATGATTGTAGGCATGAGCCACTAGCACCTGGCACATAGCAAGTGTTCACCTGCCACTGGGGTCCCTTTCCATCCAGCACATCACTGCTTGCTATGAATCCACATTGCCTTGTATCTTGGCTGTACCATGAACCCCCTTTTAATTAAACTTGCCCTAGTCTTGAATTAGTCATTTCTCAATACCCCCTTATAGTTATTTTTAGATACTTGGGAAACAATAGATGTAATACATGAGCTTCTGGAATAAACTGATCTCCCCACCCTCTCCTGGCTTCCTAATCTCCACTCTCAGGGCTGCTTTTGGTTTGGGCATTCTCACCAAAAAGATAGAAATCTGTAACTTGGCTGTTTGTAAAATCTATAAAACTATGCTGTAGTATCATGTAGGCATCATATTTCTTTTTAAAAATTTTTTTTGTCAAGGTGATTACAGAGGGGCTACAGTTTAGTGAGTACATTTCTTATCGAACTTGTTACATTTCAATTAGTTAACTACAGTAAAATAAGATAGCTCTCTAGTTGGACTAACCACATTTGAAGTGCTCAGGAGGCCCAGCTAGCTCCTATGTGGAGGGTTTTCCTCATTGCAGAAGGTCTCGTTGACCACAAAGGGCTGATGTGGGACCCACCTCCACGTGCTTGGGAAAATCACTGACAAGGCACTTCCTGCTTCTGTTCTCCTGTCTCATAGCACACCAAGGTTGGATTCCAGTGCTTCTTCCACTCACTTTGTGCTGTTTTATGTGGTCCTGTGGGTGACAGGTTGTGAATCTGAGGTGTTAACAGTACTGGGGTTGATCAGATGAGCTGTGAGAAGCTCATTCGAAGTACTGGGGTTAATCAGATGAGCTGTGAGAAGCTCATTCGACCTACACAAGAACAAGTGGACACAATTAGGAAATAAAGCATCTCATGGGTCTCAAGGGGCATGCCACTTCTATTGGCTCTTACTTTTAGAGTTGTGGCAGAATGTACATGACAAAATTTACTATTATAAAACCTCTCCCCCTTTCCCCCCCATTACTGGAGCTCACTTAGCTTGCTTGCTTGCTCACAGCTGACATTTTACCAGGTAAACTATGACTCCAGCTTGACTTTTTTTTTCAGTGCCTACAATCACTTTTATGTTAATATAATCTCAACACATAGCATTTAGGAAATACCAAGAAAAATTTCTGTACCAGAGTTGATGCTATTGCATTTGGGTAAATCTGGCAAGTTCTTGGCTACTAGCATAGCCCAGGAAATACCACTGAGGAAATCGAATATATTGGAATAGATTTTGTGCCATTTGTATCACAGTTTCATAGCTCTCAGCATTAACCTGAAGTTGTCAGTATTTGGTACTGGATGTAAAATTTCATCGGTTACTCTGCAACTATTAAGACTCCTTATACATCTTATATCTAAATTTTTAAGCAGACGATCATCTCATAGGTCCAAATCTTCTGGAATAATCTGCAGTGCTAATCTTGCAAACAAAATATCAGTCTCCATACCATTAAAGCAGAGTTTGATAACAGGTACAAATGCCTCTTTAACAGCTCTTTTAAGTCTTTTACTTCTTCCTGTGACTTCAGCTTATAGAATCAGGTGAAAAAGTCACTTGGATCCGCATATCTTGGTGCAACAGACAACATGCAACACACAAATATCAGCACCAAATCTGTAAGACCTAAATGTAAACATTTTTCCTCCAACATTTTAAGTTGCCGATGGTAGAAAATGAACGACATTGTCTCCAGCGCCAGCACTGCCCAGTCATTCCCCCACCCCCCAACTGCCACTGCTGCCACCCTGGGCATGATCCACTGAGGCAGGAGGGAGCAGGAGCTGCCTGGCTCAGCCCTGGGTCCAACCCCATTCCTGAATCTGCTATTACTGCTTTCCAACTTGACTTTTTGTTGGTTTGGAAATGGAGTATGGCAAATTTTGTGGTTTTATTTTCTTTCTGGGATAACTTCAAACTAATCCTCCAGATCTCAGCCTCCTGAGAAGCTAGGATTGCAAACAAAAGCCACTGGCACCTGGCTTTTTTTTTCTTTGAGATAGGGTCTTAGTTTGTAGTTCAAGTTGGCCTTGAACTGGTAGTCTTCTTATATCATCCCTACCCATTTTAGCCATTTGGAAGTGTGCCTTTTGGTGATATTTATCCAAATTTTATGCAGCTATCACCAATATCTATCTCCAGAACTTTTATTAAAAGTTTTAAAGCCAGGTACTCAACCCTGTAATCCTAGTTGCTCAGA